ACTCTGATTTTTTCCCCCCTGTTCTATTCTAGTTTTCCTGTTTGAAGATTTCTGGTTGCAACCCACAAATAAATCTATTTCACAGCCCAATAAGGATTCGTGATTCAGTCTGGAAAATACGGTACCGGATACCTCTTTCTGGAGCTGGTTCTCTTTTCTGAATGAAGGGCACGGGGGTTTCTAGAGGTCCTCTGAACTAGGCACCGGCCTGGTTTGGAGTTCTGTTCATTTGGCAAAAAATGAAGCTGAGACGCCCTGAGGTTGAGTAGCTTGCCCATGAATCAGCCATGGGGTTGGGGGGTGGGGGGACATTGAAATGCTGCAAATCAGGGCTTTCCCCCTGCCCTCGGAAAGCCAGCTCTTAACACACTTACTGGTGCGCCATTGCTCCCCACCCTGCTCTTTCTGGTTCCATAGTCGGTATATCTCGCAGCCTTCCGACCTCAGCTTCCTCATCTGTAAATAACATTAAAAATGCTCACTTTGTGGGGAAAAATTATATTCACTGAGGACATTCTGGTGAGGGACAATGACTGGAAGGAAACAAAAATGCAAATAATTATTTGCCTCTGTGATGGGATTTGAAATGAGGTGCCAAACTCCACTGTCTTGTGTAATTTCCACCACTGCTAAATGGAGTTTGTACAGACAAAAAGCCCACACTTTGCAGAACTGTTGAGAATTAGAAGAAAGGAAGGCAGTCTGTAGCCCAGTCGTGAGCCGTGTAAATGGTAGCCAGGGCCAGACAAGAGGGAATTCGTGTTTTTCTAATTGGAAATTGCAAAGGAAGTATTGCAAATGGATTGCATTTCAAAGCAGGACCTTCTGTGCAGGCAGAAGAGAGAGGGGAGTACTTTGATAAATATTCTGATTCATAGACTATACTGACAAACATATCCTACATTAATCACTAATTTTCAAAATTCTAGAATAAGGGCTTTATAGTTTAAAATTTATCCAGTCCTGTGGTGCCCCCCCATCTGACGGATTCCTCCGCCTGGTGACCCCCCGAGTAGATTCTGAGCCTAGGACTGGGTGGGCTCCAGGGCCAGACAGCAGCCTGAGCCTGGCTGGAACCTCCTCCCATTCGTTGCCACCCTGCTCTCTGAGGCCACACAGGAGTCTATACCCTCGCCCTCACCATATTTATAATAATAATGGCTGTATTCGTTTCCCACGGTGGCTGTCACCAACTACCACAAATTTTATGACTTAACACAAACTTATTATCTTACCGAGTTAGAAGTCCGGAATGGGTGTCACTGGGCTAAAATCAAGGTGTTGGCAGGGCTGTGTGCCTTCTGGAGGCTTCAGGGAGAATCTTTCCCTGATCTTTCCTGTTTTCTAGGGGTGCCTGTATTTCTTGGTTAGTAGACCTTCCTTCTTCCTCAAAGCCAGCAACACTTCACCTTCGAACCTCTCTCTGACTCTGGCACTCACTCTTCTGCTTCCCTGTCTCGTGATAAGGACCCTCGTGATTAGATTGGGCTCACCTGGATAATCCAGGGTCTCCCAAGCCAGTAAGCTGATTAACAGCCTTAATTCCACCTGCAACCTTAATTGCCACTTTTACCACGGAACACAGCACATTCGCAGATTTCTGAGATTAGGACATGAGCATCTTTATTCTGCCTACCACAATGGTTAACACGTTTTGAGCACTTCCTATGTACCTGGTACAGTTCTAAGCATGTTACTTATAAAGATGTGTTTAAATCTCACCACAACTCTGTGAAGTAGAAATCCATTTAATAGAGGAAGAAAGTGAGGCCCAGAGAGGAAAAGCAAATTGCCCAAGTTCACACAGCTAGTAAGATGCAGGGCTGAGCTACAGATTCAGAAATCTAGTCTCCAAGCCCATTCTCTTAAGCCATAACCACACTTTAGTAACTGAAGCACAGATGTACAAATAGAATTCTACTTAGTTGAATCCTCATTTGATGATCCAGAAGCCCCTACAGGATGTGACAGTGCCTCAGGTCAATTAATACTGACTGTAATTTGCCACTGATCAGACAACTTTGGATGGGCTGACCAGTGGATTTCCAGGGGCTAGAATATCCAGTAAGTCTGCTTCCTTCCCCAGCGGGCTTCTCGCAATGGGCAACAGTGATTCTAAACTCTGCTCTGTGGTATCTGACCTCAGCTCCTTCTCTTTCCCTCTCTTCCAGCCATGCTGGCTTCACAGACATGCCTCAAAAAAATGAAGTCAATTTCTACCACAGGGCCTTTGCACTTGCTGTCACCCCCACCTGGAATCTCTCCCCAGTATACACAAAACTCAACCATCACTTCAAACAGGTCTCTGACCAAGGATCACCTCTTTAAAAAAGAGCGAGGCATCAGGCCCACCTTGGTGGGAGGTGTCTCCCTCTTCCCTTTCCAATACTTTGGTGGAAAGAAACCATTAACATTCTCTTCTTTTCCCTGCTTCCCCCCCCCCATTGTGTTGAACAAAAGGGGCAGATTAAGGGAGTTGCATTTGCAGGTAGGGAGGTGTCTTCACCTTGAGGTTTCCCTCGACACTGTGTGTACAAATGACCCTGAGCAAAAAGCAGGGGACAGAAGGTTTCTTAACTGCCAGATCTTTAAGGGGAAGAGAGAAAAAATCTTGACTTATGGAGCACCTACTGAATACTCAATCTTCACATCCATGTACAAGAGGTACTAGGAAAAGAATGCTGCAGATGCTGGACATTAAGAAATTGGTCCAAATTACATATGGAGGGGCTGAGTAGGCCTTGAATACAAGTCAGCCTGAATAACACAGCAAAGTTCCTCTTCCTTTATGGAGAGAAGAGGTGAACTGGGATAAAGCAGGGACAGTATTGAAGCAATTCACCATAGAAAAAAAATTTTTTTCTCTAAATGAGTAATTATTCTATTTAGAAACTCACATGGAAACAATGGGAAATAGAAGTGAAGACTTTGTTTCTAGCCCCAGGAGATATTTGCACATGGATACACAACTGTTTTAGCACCATATGTAGAACAGACTCCTTTCTCCATTGAGCTGCCTTGACACTTCTGTCAAAATCAATGGACTGTATTTGTGTCTATTTCTGGACTGTCTAGTCTGTTCCATGGCTCTCTGTCTGCCTTGATGCCAATACCAACCTGTTTTGATTACTGTAGCTTTGTAATAAGGTTTGAAGTTAAGATTTGGGTCCTCTAACTTTGTTCTTTTTCCAAGTTTTTTGGCTATTCTAGGCCTTTTGTATTTCTGTATGAATTTCAGAATCAGATTGTCAATTTCTACAAAAAAAGCTTGCCGGATTTTGGCTTAATTTATAAATTTGGAGACAACTGCCATCTTAACAACATCGAATCCTCAGATCCATGAACATGGTATACCTGTTTATGTAAGCCTAATTTTTCTCAACAGTGTTTTGTAGTTTTCATTGAACAGGATTTGCACATCTTTTGTCAGATTTATCCTTATACTTTATATTTTTTATGCTCACATAGTGGTATTTTAAATTTCAATTTCTAATTGTCTGTTGCAAGTATATAGAAATATAGTTGAGTTTTGCATATTGATCTTAGATCCCGCAACCATGCTGAACTCACATGTCAGTTCTGGTAGGTTTTGTTTTGTTTTGTTTTTTGCAGTGGGGGTGGTTGGTGGATTTTTGGTGGGGGTTTTTTTGTGTGGGTTTTTTTTGGTGGATTTTTTTGGTGGATTTATTTTTCTATATAGATGATGTTATCTGTGAATAAAGACCATTTTATGAGGGGCTATCTCTAAGAAAGCTGTGTTCTAATAAACTCCATCCACAAGCTGTTGGAAGGAAATAGAGGGACAATCCAAGATGAGGATGATTGAGGGCTGCAAGTTATTCTCAGGACAGCAGGTCCATAAATCTAATGGTTTTATTTAGGCTAATGTTAAAATGGACTCATAGTCTATCAATACTGGGAGACATCCTCAGCACAGATCATTTGATTATCCATACTCAACACAGTTATGAACCCAGATGTGAGCTGAGTGAAAGCAAAAATATCCAGCCTTAGGTTGGAAAATGTCAGAAAAACCCTTTCCACAAAGCACCACCTTCTCTCACTCCCACCTCCATGAGGCCTCCTTATTGATCTCTGGGCTTTCCCTCTCATCCCCTCCAATCCCATCTCCATAGAGTCTGACTGCATAAAAAAAAAAAAAAAAAAAAAAAACCCACAAATGATCCCGTTCTATGCCCTGCACATAGAATAAAATCCAAACTCTTCACCCAGGCATTAGCAACCCTCATGGCACTATTAGCCTGCCCCCCCCACTAGTTAAAGCCATTTCCAGCCTTCTCTCCATGCACCTCATTCCCTTCTTTGGATGTCCCTTCCAACAGATACTCTCAGGGCATCCTATTTTCCCTGTTACACTCACCATATTTGTCATTTAATTTCACACTAAAGCAATGCAGTGAGGGCTGGGACCACTGCTATGGTGTTTATCCCAATCTCCTAACAATGCCTGACAAATCATAGGCACTCAGTAAATGTTCTGAGTGACTACCGGAGCTCTTTTTAGCTGTATACATGCCCATCCACTCCCCTCCAGTCTTTGTGAATGACCTTGTAAGATATCTTGGGTGTTTCTCTTCCCTTAGAAAGGTGGCTTAAAACTGTGGCTGTGTGTTGAAAGCTCCCCATGATTCTAAAAAAAAAAAAAAAAAAAAATGAATGCTTGGCCCTCGTCCTAGCCCATTGAAATCTAAGTCTCTAGGGGTAGAATCCAGGTAGTTGTACTTTTAAAAAGCTTTCCTGGTGATTCCAATATGCATCCAGGGTTGAGAACCACTAACACAGAAGGGAAGGCTGTTTTCATTCAGCCAGGTGACAAAAACCCATGGATGGGGCTCAACCTGGAAGGGCCAACAGGCAAGATATATACAGAACCTCACTTGGATTGCCTCCTGACTCTGCCTCCCATGCAAGTTGCATCTCAGTGCTGTGTTCGTCCAGTTCCCGCGGAGGTGGAAGAAAAGAAGGAAACCAGACCAGAGTGGAAAGCATTTTCAAACTTTATTTACAACTGTCACAGTGACAAAAAGTAGTTCGGAAAAAAAAAAAAATGCTAGTTTCTCCCTGAGCCTCAAAAAAGAACAGAAGTTACAGGAGGTTCATCTTACAACAGGCATTTTTACTGAAGTACTAGGGTTTTGTTTTTTTTAATACGATCAGTTAGAAATACACACAAGTTACTTAAAAAAAAAACAAAAAAAAACAGGAGGCCAGACAGGAGCTCAGCCACTTGTCCAAGAGTGGCTGGGTCCCTCCCACAGGCTCGCTGCTGCAGGTCCTGACTCGAGTTGTCAGCCCCCGGCCTGCTCAGACTCCAAAGGGTCATACAAAAGTGTCTAGCGACCAGCAAAATAATAAGTCACCCCCATAAACACACATATACACAAAGTAGATTTGTTATGCAGTTTACAAGCACGTTCCCATCACACGGCAAGACCAGGACAGATGAGAGGGACACAGAGACACAGGATTTTAAAAGGCAAGACCCCATCCACGAAGGGAGGCAGGTGCGGGATGAGACATGCTGCTGTGAGGGAATGAGGAAGGAGGGAGGACTCTCTGCAGCCTGAACAGAACCAGCAGGAGCACGAAAGAGACGCCCCGGCGGTACAGGCTGCGGGCCTCTCCCACTGCCAAGGAGCTGGAAGAAGTTATTGCCATCGGTGTGTGTAACACAAGCGGACAACACAGGGGGAGGGAGCGGGGGGAGGAGGGGTGAGCGTCAGCTTCCCAGAACCAAATCCTGCTGAGATGTCAACTGCACACCCTCATCCTGCCCCAGCTCCCTGGAACCACACTAACCTTGAGGTATTAAATACAGCTCCATGCACAAGCCCCAAACTGCGGTCAACCCAGACCCACTGGGGAGCGGCTAGGGTGCCTCTGTCGGCCCAGGTCAGCCTCCAGGAGGATCTTGAGCTCACCTCTTGGCTGCACACTCGCGCTGTGAGCTAGAGAAGGTTTGAAGAGTGTGTCTTGCAAACTGCTGCTCCAGATGGTTCTTAACTATAAGAAGCTCTAAGTCCTAAGGCTAGCTTTCTTGTGCAACTGTGCCCTTACAGGGGACAGGTGAGAGGTGGGGAGAGATGAGGACCCATGCTCAGTGCTCCCTCACCGTGCCATCCACCCACCTGCCTCCGGAGCGCAAGGAGAAGCCAGGCGATGGCATGACACCTTCAATTTCAAACTTGATCCCCAGGCTGCTGCATGAGAGCCCTGTTAGCCCCATCTGATAATTCCCAGATTTGGGACTGCCATTAAAGCTCACCTCCCCAACAAGAAACAGAGAGTCTCCTCTCCACTCAGCTCCCACCAGAAAAACGGGCCAGGAGCCCACATGGGAGTGGGTGAGGCTGCTGGTCAGGCTGGGAACCGCCCCTGCCTGACTGCTCCGCCCAGGGGCTGCAGAGGTGATGCCAGGGAGAAGGAAGGCGGCCTGGTAGAGCCAGAGCTCTGTGCCTCTGCTCAGAACAGAGCAAGCCTGGGGGAGCAGGGGGGAGGGAGCTTCGTGTCCAAGCGTCCGTCCTGGTCCTCCCACAAGGATGGGAAGTGCTCCCGCCACTCCCAAAGGGCCAGGGGAGGGCAAAAGGATAAATCAGGAGAGAGAAGCTCAAGAGTGCTGCCTCTTAAGAAACCTCCAGAACCTGCCACAGCTGGAGCGGAGGGTGGGGGAGGGGCAGGGAGTCCTTCTTTCCCACGCTTGCCTCCAGCCAACTTCGCAGGCGGCCAGTTTCTACTACTCTTCTTTGCCAGCCTCCCGTGAACAGACCAACACAGCTGAAATAAAAACAAAGGCTGGTGGTGGGCAGAGCTGGAGAGAGAGAGGAACGTGTTGTTTTCAGATGCCCGCGGGCAGGCAACTTCCTGGCTGCACTCCTCTGCTCGCTGCTTCCTTTCAAACATGTATTTTCTCTTCCCGTGTCTCCCGTTTGTTCTCTTACCCTGAATGTTCCTTGCTCGCGATGCACATCCCCCTTCCCCCCACCCCCCCAGAGCCCACTGGAATCCCAGGGCTGCCTCTAGCCTGCGCAGGTTCAGATACCAATCTCGAAGATGCACCACTTCCCCGCACCCCCCACCCCTGCTCTAAGCAGCTTCCTTTCTCAGAAGGCCTTGCAAATTGTCGCAGAGGGCTCCACTGCCCAGCACATTTCAAAAAAAGAAAAGAAAAGAAAAGAAAACCAGCTCGGTGATTTGCAGGTGCAAAACGGAAGCCATCATTTGACATTTTCAGAACTATTGTGGCTCACTCCCTTCTTCCATCACAATGGGAAAGAACACAGTTCAGGGACAGATGCCGTTTGGTGTAGCCCCCGAGGGAGTCGACAGGGACTCTATTGCTCCTTGTTGTCTTTCTCTGTCTCTTCACAGTTGTCCTGCTCATCCTCCTGGACCAAGAACTCCTCGGGGGGCCACCGGAGCTCCCCGCTCTCCACCTCGCCCTCCGTGGGCTCCACCACGATGGAGGGCAGACGGTCTTTGAGCTTGCAGCAGCGGTCAAAGTCTGACGGGTCGGGGAAGATCTGAAAGAAAAGCAGAGCGAGTCCCCGTCACCTAGAGTACAGGAAAAGAGAAAGCCCATTCCTCTGCTGCACATACACGTGGAGAACTGAGCCCCCGCTGAGTGCCAGCACCCCTGCCAGGCTCTCAGGACACTGGGAGGGAGCCCTAAGGTGGGAGCCAGGGAGCCCATTCTGGGGCCACCCAGGAAACCGACCCTTGGCAGACTTTAATCCTGAAGCTGCAAGATTTCAGGGCAGTGCCCCTAAATTTGTGGTGTTGCTCTGTTCATACCTTTTCTTGTCTTTATTTTCAGATAAAAGAATTTAAAATCGGGATCCATAGTACGCCACACCCGCCTACAAGCAGCACGCCGCCCCAGCAGCCTAAAGCATGCCACAGGTACCTTAGCACTGACTGCCTCCCAGGGTAACCACCAGCGCCTCGTCCCAGGTGCTTTACACATACCCTTTGAACCAATACTGTCGTGCCGAAAACACCTGTTGCTAATACTATCTTAAAGACTCCCAGGTTTGAAGAAGGAGGTGGCCCCAACCAGACAGCCTGGAGATGAGTGGTGGAGGGATGAGATTCAAACCCAGGCCCGTTTGAGCCCCGTGCCCGTGCCCCAGTAACACCCGGCCCCTCACACGGATGGGTCCTGATCTCGCTGCGACTATGAAGTCAAGGCCAGATCAGGGTTGATCAGGGACATTTGCTGGCGTGGCCCCAGTCACAGAACAGAATTCTAGGCTCCTTTTTCACCCGTAAGCAGCTCTTGGCTCCTTGACCGTTCTACACCTGGAAGTCTTTTCAGAGTCCCGTCAATGAGGCTTCTTTTTTTAATGCCTACTGTGTGTCCCGCCCAGCACTGGGAGAAACCCCGCACCAGGCCATGAGGGGCTCTGTGGATTCCCTGTGCACACCATGCCCTGTGGCTGCAGCTGACCCAATTCTTGGCCCAGCAGCTTAAGTACTTAATCCGACGGGCTGCTGGTCCCTTGCCATCCGCAGCCCTTGGTGACACATCCAAGAGCCGGAGAGAAGAGCCTCTGTCCGGGACACTGAGGCTCACAGAACACAGACGTTGAGAGCCACATGGCGTCCTCAAGGCTATCTCTTCCAATCTCTCCATTTGGTAGATGAGGAAACCAAGGGCCAGAGGGAACAAGGGACTTGCTCAAGGTCACACAGCTTGTTAATGGCAAGAGAAAGGAAAGCAAAAATTGGGAGTGGGTGGAGACACACATTTGCAGAGGGCCTGGGCATTGCCTGAGTCAGGCACAGATCAAAACAGTCCCCCAGCAACAGGCAAGTGTCCTGTATTCTCAGGAGGGAGAAGAAATGCTCTCCTACAAACTCAGGGCTTCCCAGCTCCTGTGGTGCCCAATCTCACGGCACCCCAGCCCCAAGCAGTGCTGGCTCGGTCACAGGCCACGTCACAGGCCACGTGGGGCTTTCGGGAATCACGGGGCCTCAACAAAACCTCCCCAATCCCTGCAGACAAGTGATTATTAACCATTTATCCAATAAAGCCCTATTGCTGGGGATTAAGCCTTAAGCCAGCTGCACAACCAGGCATCATTAAAGACTTAACAGGCTCATAAAAAGTATGGTAATGGCAGCCAGGAGGAAAACAAGCCAGAGGAGGGGCCAGACGAGTTGGGGAGAAAGGAGCCATGGGGAGAGGGATCCCCACTCCAGCCTTTCTCTTCCTGATGCAACCGACCCCACGGTTCCACACTGGGACCATGCTGTGCACACACAGCTGATGTGCCGAGCAGGGCAAGTGGTGGCTTTGGGCCCCTCCTCACTGCCCCTCACCTGGAGCTGGAGCCCCTGCATGGAGTGAAACACAGGTGCCTCCCATGCACGGGCTTTGCGAGTGAGCAAGGGGAAGTCCAGCAAGTGGCAAGCACACTACAGTTCGCAAAGCTCTTTCAGATGTCACCTCATGTAGGCCTGACCACACCCAAGGAGCAGTGAGATCCTCGGCTCTGACGGACACATGTAAGAGCCAGGATTCAAACCTAGATCTGTTGTTTTCAGTGCCTGTGCCTTTTCAAAAGTGAATGAATGCCCATTTTACAGATTGCAAACTGACCAGGGAGGGTGGGCAAGACTCTGGGCTTCAACTGCCCATCCAGCTGAGGTGCCAGGATGACCTCTGGGCAGCTCTCGGTCTAGAAGATGAGCTTCCCAGTCTAGACAGTTCTTCTCAACCTACAGGACCTGAGACAGAGCTATGAAACATCAAAAGGAGACGGACACCTGGCTCAGTGTAGACCTGGGCCCCTGCCTCTACCCTCTGACCTACCTGTGACGTCCTAGCAACTAGATTCTAATTATGACCACCCGAGCCAAGGAAGAGCGAAAGGGACAAGACACAGCGAGGCCAGGTGCAAGACAAGGGGGAGGAGCACAGTGGGAGTGGAGAGCGTGTCATTTCATTTCAGGCTGGGAATAGGCCTTTAACTAAAATTAGGGGGGGAAGATGTTAAAATGATGATGGTGGTGACGGAAGAGAAGTCAGGTACATTTGCTGGGTAGAATCTCAACCTTCACAATAATCCTATTAAGTATGTAGTAGTGTGAGCCCTATTCTAGAGAGGGGGAACCTGAAGCACAGAGAAAGCAAGTGACTTACTCAAGGTAACACAGCTAGGAAGTGGCTGCATGGGGACCTGAACTCAGACCTGTAGGACTTCAAATAAGCTGTTCATTTTATAACACATTGTGTAGAGCCACAGACCCCAGATTCTGTGTCTTTGATGTCACTTCCCTAAGCCCGATCAAGTCCTCCCAACTGCCTGTGACTCAGTTTCTTTTGAAAAGCAAAGTGACCTTTGTGTCTCACTAGATGGGTACAAGTTCTTGGCAAACACAAAGGTGAGGACATATGCTGAATTAAAATTGGAAAGTCCTGGGCGCCTGGGTGGCTCAGTCGTTAAGCACCTGCCTTCGGCTCAGGTCATGATCCCAGAGTCCTGGGATCGAGTCCCACATGGGGCTCCCCGCTCGGCGGGAAGCTTGCTTCTCCCTCTCCCACTCCCCCTGTTTGTGTCCCTGCTCTCGCTGTCTCTCTGTCAAATAAATAAAATATTTAAAAAAAAATAAAATAAAATTGGAATGTCCTTTTTGGAGCTGTTTCAACAAGACAACAGTAAGTATTCAATCTCCAAGCAAGAGGTGGTAATACTCACATGGTAACTAAAATAACTCCAAACAATGCCTGGCATACCAGGAGCTGCACAATTAAGTCTTTTAAGTTGTTGGGGGAAGTCTGAGCATTGAACTTCTGATATTGCTCAGTTGCCAGAGAACTTTGCTCCCTGAATTGCTCAAAGCAGGTGCCATTAAAAAAAAATTTTTTTTTTCCTTTACAAAGCCTGCTTACGGCACTTAAAAAAAAAAAAATCACTATAATAATCTCACCTTTCCAAGCAAAGATTTTATTTTTTTATCAAATAATGCCAATTTATGCCTCTGAAAATTGTAGCTCTCTCCAAAGACAAACAACATGCACTCAGAACCGATCTCATTTCCTCACATGCAGACAGAAAGCCTTGCACAGTGTTGCTGAGTATTCTGCCAGCACAATCTTATCTCCAACAGCTGCTTAAGAGGCTGACCCTAAGGAGGTTGAGATTTTTCCACTAAGTCATGCTTTTTAATCATCTAGGCAGCAGAAAAATGAGAGGTTGCAACTGCAGTGTGACGGGGTAGGGAATGGAAAAAAGGACTCCAGTCAGACTTGCCAAGCACATGACAGGTAGGGCTGGGGCGGCAGGCCAGCTTGGCATGCTGTTTGCCTGCAGGAGTTGGCAGGGAATAAAAACCACCCCTGCTCCAAAGAGAAACTGCTTCTGGTTAAACCTCTTACTCCAATGTGCACCTTTCTCTCTGGACTGGGGAAGGGGGGGGTGGAAATCCTTTTCTCTTCCCTCTGCAGCAAAGACTCCTTTCCAAGAGGTCCAGAATGGAAAATGGGAGGCTCTGAGAAGCATTTCCCACCCTAAGCCCCACAGAGGGCAGGGCAGATCTAGAAGCATCCATCCCCAGCTGTGATTCTGTCAGCCCTGCCCTGCCCTGCCCTCCTTCTGCCAACACTGGACGTCACATCCAGCTGCCCAGCTGTCACACTCGGCTGCCACGGCTGATGGCACCCAGCTGTCACACTCGACTGCCACGGCTGATGGCTTGGATGAAGCTCATAGACACCCAGCTCCTTCCTTTGCAAATGGAGTAAGGTCTTGAAGATCACACACACGGTCCCGGCTGGGTCCTGCATGTCCCACTGTGTAGGAACGGCAGGCGTGCAACCTTGGCGCTCGTGAATCTCACAGACGACACTTCTTCAGAGGCCTCCTTTGCCAGGTGGCCTCTAATCCCAACAGGCCCTGACATTTTGGGAACTCACATGGGTTCACTTGAAAGGTCAGGAGCTTTAGGACCTTCTCTGAGGAAGAAATGCTCTGTGAGATGAACCGTGGATGCCAATATACTGGCAATCCTGGCTGTGTGGACTAGAGCTGTCCACTGGAACTGTCTATGACAGTGGAAATGTTCTCTAGCTGCACAAGCAGTAGCCAGTGGCCACATATGGCTATTGAGCACTCGAAATGAGGTTAAATTGTTAAATTTTCTCTAACTTTTAGTAATGTAAATTTATCTGATATATGTAAATATAATATAAATTTAAACGTAAACAGTTGCATGTGGCTAGTGGCTGGTGCAGTGGGCAGTGCAACATTAGTAGTTAAATATGAGGACCATGAAAGCAGGGTTGTCCAGGAAAACAGCTCAGGAGGTTTGGTTGATGGACCAACGTGGGCAGCCTCACAGCAGAGAAGTCTGGGGTTGGGGGGTGAGGAATTAGTCAGAAGGCTTTTTGCTTAAGTATAAGAGCTGCTGGTCAGTCAGCTCCCATTTCACCCACGGAGGGGGGACTGAAAGGTAATATCAGATCTCCAAAGGCCTGAAGTTTGGGGGCCTAGCTATCAACTGTCTGCCTCTAAGCCAG